AGAACAACGTCTGGATCGCTGGTCAGAGTATTTTAGTGAACAGTTCAGTTGGCCCACTGCTAATGCGGTCATTCCAGAACTTACGGCCGAAACCCCAAGGGTGGTCACATACGAGCCCCCCCCTATCGGGACCTTATGTGGTTCGCGAATCCAAGTCCCGGGGGCTTAGGTTACCGGTTTCCATGACGGAGCAGCAGGTCTTCGTGACTATGGGGTTCGCCCCGTCTACTGTTCACCACACAAATGTGTATAATAAAAAAAAGTACGAATCTGAATTCAATCATTAATGAACGGGAAGGCTGCACGACCTGACGGGCTTCTCTCTATTCTTTTCAAGCTGGGCGGTGATTCTCTTGTCGACTCCATCATTAGCTTACTTCGCAGCATTTAGACGGAGGAGCGTATCCCTTTGTCCTGGGGTGAATCGCTAATCGTTCTGATCTTCAAGAAGGGATCACGCAACAGCTGCACTAACCACCGCGGGATTAGTGTAGTTCCGATGGTCACAAAGTGTTGACTTATGTAATACTTCGCCGCCTGACACCCTCAATGGGGATAAATATCCGTGCACAACAAGCCGGATTCCGACCAACTCGCGGTTGCATTGATCAAACGTTCACTTTGCATCAAGTCCTCGAATTACGTCACAACGTCGGCCAAAAATCGCAGTGCTCCTTGACCTAAAAGGAGCCTTCGATTCAGTTGACCGTGCAGCTCTTATTAGGTGGCTGCTTCGCTAAGGAATGCTGCAGAAGTATATAAACCTATTGCGGTCTCTGTACCTGCATACATCTGGTAGTGTAAGGTTCTAAGTAAATCGTTCGAAACCAGGAGTGATGTTCGACAGAGGTGCCCTATTTCGCCATTTTCGTTCAATTTTGTCGTAGACGAAATGCTGGAGAATGCACTTAATGGTCTCCAAAATGTAGGTATTAAATGTGCAGCTGGAGAAAAGCTGTGCAATTTGAAGTACGTTGATGACATCGTGTGCCGGCTTGAATGTATGCAAGACGGGTAAAGCGCTCTTGACAGACTAGCAAGTTCTGTAACTCTTTTCCGCATGCGCTTTGTACCTTCAAAGTGCAAAATGACGCTACAAGATTGGGTGTCGTCTATCCCAGCGTTGATGCTTAATGGTCAAGAATTAACTGTAGGGAAATGTTTCACCTACTGCGTTACAAATGACGGTAGCATAGCCAGTGAAGTAGCTGCCCGCATTTACAAGACTCGAGCAACTTACGCAGGACTGAAACATCTTCGGTGCAGACGCGATGTTTCGTTGAAACTGAAAGGTCGCGTATACTGCGCTAGTGTGCGGCCAGTTCTGCTCTATGGTTGCGAGACCCTAAATTTGCGCGTGGAAGATATTCGTCGTCTTGAAGTATTCGACTGCCGATTTTCACGTAGTTTGGCTCGGGTTGAATGGAGCGGGCTTGTAAGCAACTCTGAGGTAAGGTATTTGGTAATAATTCGGTGGAGAAATCGTTGTCCCATCGAATTCAGATTAGTCGGTTTCGCTCGCTCATATGCCCAGCCATCGTCTGCCGCAACGCGCCCTGTTCGCAGTTGCGGCATCAGCTTGGAAGAAAACGCATGGAGGTCAACAGATGACGTGGAAATGAGGCACAAAAAAGTGCACGGAGCGATTAGATAGAATCGGTGTCTCCCTTCTTCCAGGTTGGGGTCCGAAAGACTGCAACTGGCTGGTTGGGGACACTGAAGAATATGGCTACCAACCGACAGCAGTGCCGTTCTTTTTGTCATTTCTTATCGGGTCAGAATTCTTGAAAAGGTGTGTATGCATACTTGGATTATGTACACTGTTTGTTGGCCATGGAGGTTCACTTTCCTTCCCTCCCTCCAGTTAGGCCCAACCCCTCTCCATTTTGTGCTTGATCACTTGATTTGTGTACATTGTGAGCTTGGCAGCGATCAGTGAAGTTCGCTTTACTGTATCTCGCTGTATGATGATGATGTTGCTGATATATCTTCTGATTGCAAATTCAAGGTCTCAATAGCTGAACGAACACTGACAAAATATACACGGCCTTTCAACTTCAGTGAAACGTCGCGTGTACTCCAAAGGTGTTTCAGTCCTGCGTATGCTGCTCGAGCCTTGGAAATGTGGGTGGTTATCTCCCTTGCTACGTTATCGTCATTGACCACGCAACTACCTAAGCAGGGAAAGCAATGGACCATATCTAATTCCTGGCTATTAAATTTCAAGCGAGAGTAGGCGACACCCAGTCCTGCAGCATCAGTTTTCAGTTTGAAGGCGCAAATACAGTGGTTCACCAACCCGGTTATGACCCCAGATATTGACTTTTCGTCCTCTCACGTAGTCGAGAAAACACCTTCGCCACGAGAAGGCGGTGAGTAGGGATTCTTCAGCAAAAGCTATTTGAGACGCTTGAGCATGTATGACCATTTCGCGAGTAGCAAGGGGGGAATAACGCGCCGCAACCCGAGATAGCCTCCTCCTCCTACCATACGGACGCTTTCGGAGGCATGCAATACAGTAGCACCAAAAGTATCCAGAAAAGCTCGCAATCTACCCAGATCATCGTTGAACAGCAATATGAATAAAACAGGTAACACAACTTGAGCAGAATTGATATTGACCATCGATTTCGAGTGCTCTCAATCAGCTGTCTACGCACATTCAACATATCACATTTCATCATAAGAAGACCATATATAGACATATATGGACACAATTACAAGCAGAAGGCACTGGGTGGTTGAGTCATTACCGAAGTCATTTGGGTGTGGGTGAAAGAGGAGGAGGGGAGTGTTAGCATAGAAACAGTTACGTAATGGAAAACGATTAGTCGTGGTGGAAAGAGAGTTAGACGTAATACGAAAAAGATACAACCAGACATGAATTCGAATAGACGTAGAAAGTTAACGGAGTACAAAATTGGTCAATTAAGTAGGTCAAAGAGAGTTACGTAATAAGAAAATGAGAAGGGTGAAGTGTCAACGATGATGTGAGAGAACGGTTGAGGTGATGGGAAGGAAAGGAGAGGGGAATTACCATGGTAATAACAACTACATAACAAAGGCCTTTTGCACGCATAGGTTAGGCCTTAAACGGCTAATGACAACCGCTTCAACAAACCTAAGCATCCTTGTGCTTCGAACTTAGAGCACAACGTGGAAAGCTTTGCGTTTGTCGATACAGTGTCCGGTATCCAGCAAATGTCGTGCCACTGCGCTTACTGGAAGTTTTCCTCTTCGAAGTGATAAGTTGTTCGGAACATCCCCACTCATTCTGGTCGACAGCCCGCGTTCAGTCCTTCCGACGTACCGCGAACCGCAAGTACATTGAAAAAGATAAATGCAATTGGAGACGACCGAATCATTGGATCTATCTATGTTTGACCGCATTAATGAGTTCATTGTTCTGTGAATCGTGATCAGCTTCACGGCAGGATAGGTGGATTCAACTGTAGTACAAAGCCGATGACCAACCTATGCAATTACATCGTCTCCTTTAAATGGTACACCAATGAAAACTGGTTTCTTTTCGACCGTAGTGTACGTTGGCCTGGGGATGGCAGGTGTGCAATATTTCTCTATGAAAGGCAGGGGAAAGGATGTTTCCGATAACAACAATATGTCTTCTGTATACTTCATACTGGGCAATCAACGTCCGGTAAGCACATCGAAGTCACTATTGTCAGCTAGTACAGGGCTGCTTTTTTAGAATTTTCTCTCACAAAATTGAACAGGAAAAAGAAGAAAGAAGGATCCAGTTCACTGGAATTGTTACGTTCTGTGCAAAATAAATTGAGATTCACACATGAGAATTGAAGATTTTTTCTGCGGTTTCTCAGTTATAGGTAATTCAAAGTTAGTGCTTCGAAATAGTTCCTTGATTTCGCTGTAATTCATTAGCTGTAGGCTATATTGTGTCAATTCGGTAACAATTTTTACAGTCCTTATCGTAATAGTTGTGGTGATCTGGTTCGGTTTATAGTCTTTCGTCAGTGTAATTGTTGAATGAACAAATTACCGTTAAAACCAGGAAAAAAAGAGAAAACTAGATACTTGAAAGTTGTGTTACTGCAAGTTTTATCTTAGTCACTGTTTGTTCTCCCAATTCAGAAAGTTATATGTCTATTTGTATGAGTTTGAAAATCCTAAACAAGACACTGGGTCACATAGATGCCGTTAGGCCTCCTGGATGGGGATCCCGAGATCATGGTAACCGGTGGTTCGAGACACTGAGTGATATGGTTTGGTGTCACAAATAGTTGCACTCGTGCATTTACTTAATGTACTTCAACCCCCAATCTATATGAATTCGCTATCTACTTTGACTCTGTTCTCAACATTCCAATCTTTTTTCTGCTCTTTAATTCAAGTGGTCAGCCAAAAGATAGCAACCAAAACCGGCACACGAAAGTGTATGGTTAATGGTTGGGAAAACTGAAACGGAATACTTGATCATATGGGTTGCCAAAATAAATGAGACCGGATAACCTATTTCCAATGTTTTATTGAAAATGGTGGTAAAAACAACAAGGATACGGACGCTGTTCTTGTGGTGAAAAGTTTTCGAAGTGGTTTGAACTTATTATATCAGATAACTAAATTAGTTTTAACAAGTTCTTTTCTCCATCTGTTAGTCAATCTTGTACGCAGGTTAAGTCGTTTTTATGTTCATTGCACTTCGTGCACTCCTACCTGTTACCTATCATGCATCTCCCTGCTGGGTACAATGCACACACGTCAGTACTGTTCTCAGAACACTACTTTTTCGCGAACATGTTTATCTGTATTCTTCCATGTACGCACGAAGCAACAACTAACCGTATGTTCATCAATACACAGTCCGAAAATTAGGTTATTCAATTTACTGATTGACTGTCTGCTTATGTGTCAAATTGTGACATTTGTGGCTTGCAGCACATCTCCACTCTCGTCATTTTCAGCGCATCGATGAATTCCTCTCACTTGCATCGAACCATGCGAACACGCCTGAAACGCGGCAAATGGCCTTCGGGTTTCTTGCTGCCCGAAAGTTTTCTGTCGCCCAAGCCCTCGAATTGTATCACAACTATCAGGTTTGTTCCCCTTTTCACACTTCTGTTTCTATGTGATACCTTTAGTCTATGCTGTTTCGAGAGAATCTACCCGGTTTAGTGGATCCCTTTGAAGAGGAGGTTCGACGGGAATTATTGTCGGGGAAATTTGTTATTCTCGTGAGTTTTTGTGTCTTTCAGGGCACTCACCGCCTCTTACCGCCATATCATAGAATGATGCAGATGCTTCGGGTGCTCGCGTGGCTCAATTCTTTGTTCGTCTGTTTCGCAATTCCACCAACCATCAGGCCTTATTGAAGAGCATTCTGTTTCAGCTTGATGCAGCATTCAGAAAGTGAGCTATAATCGTGATAATGGTTATTCTTTTATCCGGAATTTTGTGGTTATTAGTGTGTATCTGCGCTTTGCTGAGCCTTGAAAATTCTGTCGGTGTTCTGACACGATGACGACGTTCTGCTTCGTTCCTTTTGCTTGTGCTCATGTTGCCAAAAGGTTTTGACGAACACCATATATATATATATATATATATATATATATATATATATATATATATATATATATATATATATA